CAGCACAGCACAACGTGTGACCACATGTGTATTTCACAGAACTAACCCATTTGGCCTGACACAGTCATAAACTGACACACACACACACACAGAAGTTGCATTCTGGCCTGCTGCCTGCTGTCGAACAACTGATGTGAACTGTCCTGCAAGCATCACAAGACAACTTGTACAAGATGTAGTATCACGCTCATGGACTCACCAGATCACCAGACTGGAGCTCCAATGACACATTTGGAGTTTACCTGGTGTCACTGGTACAAGTGGATTCACAAAGGTCTTTGATCCTGAGAGCCTTGAATGTCAGTTAAAAATGTGAACTGTACCCATTAGTTGAAGCACTAACAGCATCGCTTGACTCCCGTGCGCACCAGTCCTCGCAAGGCAGCGCATCTGACCTACACAACAGGTTTAAATCACAACAGGTTAACGAACATTCAGTCATCAGTCAAACAAAAGAGTGAGTGCACCCCTGGAGTGAAGCACGAAACCCACTCTGACAAAGGTTGTTTTTTTCTGACTGCGGTTTTGGCGTCGCAGTGATTTGGGGTCCACATTGGGAAGATTGCGCCACAGCAGCTGGCTCCACCTGCATGGGGGTCAGAACTGTCAGTGAAAGAGAAATGTCAGCATGGCTAAACCTTTTGATTCATGCATGGCTACACTCCTGCAAATCAAACTCAACTGTTTGTCAACACAATTTCATCTGCCAAAACAATGACCCCACCTGGTTGTCACAGGCGATCAGTAAAAGCCCGATTCACGACCTGGGTCACAGCCAGTGCGCTAGACCACTGGAACATCAACAAGCAGCACCTCTGACAGGTAACAGGTAACATGTAGTCACTTAACAAACAAAGAATGAGAACACAGCCACTTGCAAACAAACGGCTGATCGCACTGGACAGCCAGGCATCCATGCTCGACCCAGTGGCCTTTTTCAGCAAGCGGAGCCTCACAGTGTCAAGTGACAGTGTGAAATTCCATTCATCAAGGTTTGTTATTTGTTTGTTGATTCACTGCAGCCAAGTGACAGCACCATTCGCCTGGTTTTCAATGGCAGCTGCTCAAAATTTGCCACCAGCATTGCTGAGACCTTGTAGTCAGCCAGGATCTCCAACCTAAGCTCACACTGACTGTACCATCAACTAACTACCAGCATTCACAATTCACACTTCACCTCCCATCATTCAAACTTCAACATTTATGTAAATATAAGTCAATCTAAGTACAGCCAAGGAACTCCACGTCATGCAGCTTCTCAATCACTGGTGCTGTTGCCACCGCCGATGATGAAGACTTGGGCTCATCACCTTTCTCATCTGCGGCCTTGTCACCTTTCTCAACTGCGGCCTTGTCACCTTTCTCAGCTGCAGCCTTGTCCTTGCCCTCCTGAATGGCTGTGTCCTCCTTCTGCTCCTCCTGCTGCGCCTCCTGCTGATTATCCGACCAGGCCTTATTTTGCTTTTTCTTCTTCTTTTTTTTTGGCTGATGATGTCCACCACCATGCCTGGTTGTCATTCTGATCTGCCTCCTCCTGGTCATCCTTGTGCTTGTTGGCGCCCTTGTTGTCGTCGCCCACCTCCAGCTCCGGCTTACCAGGGTCAACAACAATGGCGGCATCATTGCCCTTTTCAGACTCACTCTTCGCAGGGCCCACGTCCATCTCCCCCTTGGCCATGTCGTGTTTGGATTCAGTTGGCGGCTTTGGCTTCGCCTGGCCAAAAGCAGTTGAATTATCGATTAGACACTCTAACATCAATGTGTTTCATTGACAATTCAAACACATTTGAACCAATTCAGATTTGACATTTTTCTGGCATAACCCCCGCCTTCGTTTCAGGCTTCTTCATATTGGCCTCAAAGAGCCTAAGAAGAACAAGTTCCAAAGATTCATGAATGACCGCTCAGACTCCCACTTCAGAACAACACAAGCACTTGAAAGACTGATCACCCCAATAGAATTCAGTGTATGTCAGTGTTAACTTTAAGTTGAGGAACTTGAAGAGCTTCAGATCTTGCGGGCTGTGCAACTCACAGAAGGCATTGAATGCCTTCCAGCACACCAATTCCATCTCCTTCAGGCTGCCAATCTCTTTCGGGAGCATTGCAGCCTGCATCTCCAGCCTTGCTCACAAACAATTGAAAACAATTGATTTGCAGATCAGATGAAGTGTATTTCAAATTTCAAATGTCAAATGTCACTGTTCCAATAGGCATGCCAGCTCATCCTTTCTGTCATTGCCTGCCAAGCCACGCTGGGGTGCAGTCCTGCCCACAGGTCCAGTAGTGCATCCCGATTGCATTCCTTTGCCAGTCAGGGTGCATGACAGACCAGATCACTTCAATCTTGTGCGCCTCAGATGACAGGCAGGCATCAACAAACCATGGACTTCCTTTCAAGTGTTTCAATTGTTCAATCAATCAAAGATATTTCCTATCCAATCAAGTTTCCCTCAGAATGACATACAAGAGGATCACCAGCGCTGGAGCTCGGTTTTGGCCACATGGGCTTGAAATCCTGAGCCAGTTGGACAGCGTCTGACAACTTGAAATGAATGCCATTGGCCATACTCTTACATTCTGACAATGTGCAGACTCTTTGATTATTTGAAGACTGACTGATGTCGCCACATTGCATGAGTACAATGGAACGAATGGACAAGTCAGTGACACCAAGGCTCTTCACCAGCCATTCTGGCCTGGATAGGATGACCCTCACAACATCCCTCACAGCTGGATGGCTGAAGACCTTCTTGAAGTTCTCCTGTAGCCCCTTGATGTCTCCAAAGGCGTTTGGCCTAAGTTGAGGACAATTGTCAAATGACAAGGTCAAATGTCAAACTCTATTGAACAGTCACACCATGTTTGGAACTTTTGCATAGTCTCAGGTCAAGATACGCTACAGGGACCAGCTTCTCAAGGCGATGCTGCCAATGTCGTGGCACAACATCTCCATAGCCTTCAAGCGCCACAGTCTCGTTCTTCTCAGAGATGGTCACCTCAGTTGGCCAAACACAACACCTGACACTGGAAAAGCCAGTCACCTGGAACCTCACCACCCACCCAATCATCCCACTTGATTGGATTAAGACCTTCTCACATGTTCTCAAATGATTCCTGAACTTGACTCCACATATTTGCCAAGCAACTGTGGGTCCACGAAGAGCTGTTGGCCCTGTCCCGAAGCCCAACAAGGTGACTTTGCCAGGCCAGTTTGCGTACTCATGGCCGAGGAACTTGATGGTCTCAGTTGCAGCTGAAATTTGGAAAAAAACAGAGATGGACTGCACACTGAGCTGCAAAGACAATTGAGAGTAGTTGTACAGCTGAATTTAGCAGTCAGTTGTCATATATTATATACTATATATAATAGTATACAAATAACAATATTATAATACCAAGACACAAAGCCGTCCTCAGAGTCACCATCTTCAATCTCCAGTGGCTCGGCCGCCTTTGCCTCACTTGCTGTGGCCACTTCTGCCGGCAGATCCTGCAGCATTTTCTGCCTTTTGGCACCTGAGTCATTCTCATTCACGTTGCCAGTTGGGCAAAGCCACTTACAAAAAGTGCGCTTGAGAAGACCTTAGATTAGAAGCTTTCTAGCCTTTGAATCTACACAACTTGAGAACAAGTTGAACAGGACAACAAACAAAAGTCTTGAGGTTTGTGTTGTATGACCTTTAACACTTAGTCAGGAGCCACACAGTCTGAGTGATGATTGAACTTGCAACTGACTAGCACTAGTCAGCCAAATAGCCAGTCAAGCCCTCGCTCTGTCGCTTTGACGGTGTATGCGATGTAGTCATCAATCTCGTTTCCGTTGCGCTCCTTCCGCTCGTAATGGCTCCTTGAGTGAGGAAAAATAGTTGACAACAGCACAGCACAACGTGTGACCACATGTGTATTTCACAGAACTAACC